TGGGGCCTGTTAAATGGTCATATTGTATATGGTTGGAGTGCACTCTCCTCCGTCTTTTTATAATTGTATTTTAAATGTAGCTTTTAATTTTTTAATTGTTTTTCATGATAGAAGATTATAATTTTAGTTGTGTATGTACTTACTATGTACACCACCCAGAGTCACATGCAAGTGAGATGAGCGGCTATATAAATTTAATAAATAAATAATAATGACTCAGAGGTGTTCTAGCAGATCTTCCCCTGAACAAGAGGTTGAACAAGATAACCTATAAAGGTTCCTTCCAGTTCAATTTATGATCAAGGATTTAAGTAAAATAATTTCATTTCTATTCTTTTTTTATGCTAAGATGTCTAAGCCCGGCACTTGAACTTCAATTAAGCAAAATTCAATAGTTTTCATATTCTCAGCTCAATTATACAAAGTTGTATAGTTATTCATTTCCTGAGAGAAGCAAAAATGGTTTCACATCAGATATCTGACCTTCTGCTAGGTTTTTTTTTGTAGAACAAATAACAAGTTATTGGAGGCCAATAAAAGAAATATAGTTAAGTCACCACTTTGGGGCATGGGTTGCTGTGCCTTCGCCAGAATTGTAAGAGCTAAAGGGAATAAGAAGAGTCTTACCTTTGTTTTTGGATCTAGAATCTTTACGCCATATATTGAAATTTGTAACTCAACTTTTGGTGTTTTTTGGCCTTCAGATTTCTTAATATGTCTTGCAAACTGAAAATCAGAGAAAAATAATCATATAAGACTATTTTAAGTTCTTACATATTTTAAATTCTTATAGTACTATCAATTAGCAGTTTCCCCTGCACTGGGATTTGCCAGAGTTTAAAACATTTTAATTGTTAATTTTTACTTACAATTGAACATCCATTCTGCCTTTCTGTTTATTCCAACACTTACTATATTCTCTCGTACTTGGTTTCTTTGAAGTATTTCTCTAAGTAAGGCCTAGGAAACAGGGCTTGGTTGCCAATGTGTCTTTCTTTCAGACAAAACTCCTGAGATTGGTAGTTCATTGGCATTTTCACTCTACAAACCTATGATGGTCACTGCCAACCTATGACATTTTGCAGTCAGAAATTAATTTCTGGGTATATTTTAACAGGAAAGACTGGAACTACTGCAAAACATTAATCTCAGGGTTCAGTCCTACCAGATGTTCCAGAAGAATAGCATGGTTATCAAAACTACCAATTGTTCTCAAGAGAATAGGCTTGCATTCTCTCCATCTACTTTCTTGTGCGTTTCAGCTACTAAGTTTCAGTACTCTGTGTGTTTGCGTGTGTGTGTATGTGTGTGCTTTCAAGTCAGCCTTGCTCCTATCTGACCACATAGACAAGTTTTCTTGGCAACATTTTCAGAAGAGATTTGCTATTGCTTTTTTCCTGCAGCTGAGAGTACGTGACTGGTCCAAAGACACTCAGTTTATTTATTTATTTATTGTTAAACTTGTATGCCGCCCATCTCCCCCAACTGGTGGCTCTGGGCGGCTCACAATAACAAAAAAGGAAAAAAACACCAATCCCTCCAACAATAGCTAAAATCCATGAATAAT